ATGCTAATGATTGAATCATTCACAACAAAGCATGAAACAATGCAATCTTTTAATAAAATGGAATAGGAAATATAAAAGAAGGAACACAATAACACATATAGTGGGGTGGCCAAGTGGCATCCATCCACAACAACGTGTGACCCATGCATATACTTTCTCCCACCACCAAACAAATCGATTGACAGAAGTGAAGAATAAACAAGAGTGATTTTAAAGAGGGAAGAAGGCCACCATTAATAGCCATGCATCCCCTCCCGTTGTGAGCTCTACTGTGAGAGACTAAAGATGCATCATCTTCTCCAATATAATCCCCCAGAATTCTTACTTACTAAACATAGTGTCTCAGTCTCTCTTCCCTGACATCTCCACTCGCTCTCCAACCCTTACTCCCAATTTCCCACCTTTCATCGACTGACTTTATTCACTCCTGGCGCTCTAATTTGCTATAACAGATGAGATTAGCAACAGCAGAGAAGAAGAAGAGGAAGCTGGAGCTGCTGCTGATGCAAAGAAGAAGAAACAGAGGAAGGAAACGGCAGCGTTTGAGGAAATAGCTGTTAGTATTTTACCTGATGAAGAACAGCCACGTGTCGGCTTATTTACAGTCAATTTAATTTACAATTTTTGCTTTTCTGTTTTTACTGTAGACCTAGAATTGCAGAGTATAAATAGAAAAGGATGAGCATACAGCTCACCTAACGATTCCCCATTTCGTTCTTCTGCAGCTGCTTAACCTAGCAGCTGCCTTATCTTCTTCATCGTCTTTTACTTCTTATGGTATCAGAGCGGTTCTGATCCGCTTTTCCGCTTCAACAATCAGTGCTTCACCAGTCACTCCTGGAGCTGGCGGCATTCCATTTGGCTCCTTCAACGCCAGCACGAGCAGCGATGGTGGGCAACAGCAGCAAGGCAACAACATTCCAATGGGTCTTCAATTTGGTAATCCCTACTACATAAACCCAGGAGAAAATCTTGGTCAATCTATTGTGACAGAGGTCTTAGATGGGACGAATTACCAAACTTGGCAGAGAGCAGTTCGAATGGCTCTTAAGACTAAGCACAAATTGGGTTTTATAGATGGTACCCTTCCCATGCCAGATCGTACACATCCAGATTTCTTGCTGTGGGATGCTTCTAATACAATTGTTCTGTGCTGGATTCTTAATTCTGTCCATAAGGATATCAGCAGAAGTGTCCTGCAACATGAAATAGCTAGAACTGTTTGGGATGAGCTGAAAAGGAGATTTGGCACCTCCAATGCACTTAGGTTAGCCAATCTTCAGGAGGATATTGGCAGATGCAAGCAGCGCAACCTAACTATAACTCAGTATTACATAGAGTTTAAGGGTTTATGGGAAGAAAATCTGTTATATGATCCTATAGTGGAATGTGATTGTGTAGCTGTGAGAACTAGACCTTGTGCTGCAGTGACAGCATTTCAAGCGAAGCAACAAACTGATTACCTCATCAAGTTCCTTCGAGGTTTGAGGCCTGAATAAGATGTGATTCAGACCCAGTTACTCATGATGAAGCCCTTACCCAGTGTTGATGAAGCTGTGGATGATCTCCTTCAACATGAACAAAAGTTGAAAGGAGACAAAGGAACCAGTACCAGAGGGATACAATCTGTTGCACTTGCTGCAAATTCTCATACAACACGTGGGGCAGGAGCTTCTGGCAATGAAAATTCTAAGACCACCAGAGGAGAACCAGACAGAGAAAAGAAGGTCTGCAGATATTGCAAGAAGGAAGGTCATCTTAAGGAAGAATGCTACAGGTTAAAGAACAAAATGCAAAGAATGGCTGGAGGGGGTTCCTTTGCTAACTCTGTGTCACAACCAGATTGGAAATCTGACTCTCAAAGTGGAGATTCCAGTTCTTCCACTCACAGTTACATCCTTGAGAGTAAAACCTCTTCACCAGGCTCTATCAACTTCACTCCTGATGAGCTGAACAAGCTCAAGGTTCTTCTCCAGCAATCTGATAGCATGAGTCCTTCTCCACCACTCTCACCTTCCATCAAGCATGCTGCTTACTCGGTTTCCCAGCAATTACCTCCATTTCCCAACTTTGCTGGTAAATATGTTCTTTCCTCTTACTTACAGCATGGATTAATGGCTTTAGCTCAAGTCTGGATACTAGACACTGGGGCTTCAGACCATATTGCATGCTCTTTATCTTCCTTCTTGTATGCCAGTCCTGTGACAGATCAATATGTGTACTTACCAAATGGCAACAAGATCCTAGTTAGCCATATAGGAAGAGTCAAAACACCTACAGGACTGTGTTTAAGCAATGTACTTCTTGTCCCTAGCTTTACATTCAATCTCATTTCAGTGAGCAAGCTCACTCATGACCACCCACTTTATTTGAACTTTGAATCTGACTCTTGTCATATTCAGGACCTAACCACCAAGACCCAGATTGGTTTAGCAAGACAAGTTAAAGGCCTCTACAATCTCATTCCCACATCAAGTCCTCCACCAGTCACTTCTTCTCATCAAGTAGCAGCCACCTACAACTTTGAGCCTCACCAATTTGATCTCTGCATTGGAGATTAGGCCATCCCAGTAATGATAGAGGCAATCAGGCCATTGGTTGTAATAAGATAGTTTTCAAACATTGTCAAACTTGTCATTTTGCCAAACAAAGGAAACTTCCCTTTCCAATTAGTGACAGTAGAGCTGTTCATGTGTTTGATTTAGTCCATGTTGACATTTCGGGACCCCTTGCTGTTAAATCACATGATGGCGACTCTTATTTCCTTACCTTGGTGGATGATCACTCTAGGAGTGTTTGGACCTTTTTGATGAAGCATAAGTCTGAAACAGGTGATCTGCTAAGGTCATTCTGTACTATGGTACACAAACAGTTTGACAGAAGTGTTAAGGTCATTCGAAGTGACCAGGGTAATGAATTTCATATGTTAGATATCTATGCCTCTCATGGTATAGAACATCAAACTTCTTGTGTGGAAACTCCAGAACAGAATGCCAGGGTGGAGAGGAAGCACCAGCACATACTTAATGTTGCTAGGGCATTAAGGTTTCAATCAGGTTTACCATTGCAATTTTGGAGTGACTGCATTCTACAAGCAGTTCACTTGATTAACAGGATACCCTCACCTGTTACAGACAATCTCTCTCCCTATGAAATTCTATACAAACAAGCACCTGACCTGTCTCAATTAAAAGTATTTGGTTGTCTGTGTTATGCATCTACCTTACTTAGAGACAGAACCAAGTTTACCCCTCGAGCAAGGCAGTATGTTTTCCTTGGCTTTCCCTCTGGATCAAAGGCTATAAGCTTTTTGATCTCAATAGCCATCAATTCTTTGTTTCTCGACATGTCATATTCTATGAACAAATCCTACCTTTCTATTTTCCTTCCTCCAATTCCCCTTCTGATTCTACTCCTTCTCTTCCACCAACTAATGTTCCTATCTTCCCCACTTCAAACCTTCCTTCATCATCATCTTATCCTACTCAGTATGTGGATACATTTCCCCTCTACTATATCACCCTCTTCATCATCTCCTTCTTCTTCTTCTACACCTACTTCCACTACTTTTCCTTGTCCTGACACACTGCCTGAGCAGTTTCATGAGAACTTTGAGGTCTCTGATCCACATCCTGGGGGGCAGACAGATGAGCTAATAGAGCAAGCAGATGTTGATGAAGGAGAAGTTGAACATGTATTGAGAAGGTCAGATAGGGTCAAAACTTTGCCTGTCTGGCATAAGGACTATAAGGTAGGTTCTGTTCAGAAGTATGCCATGGAGAATTATGTGTCATATGATAACTTACCACCTGCACACAGGGCATATGTGTTGAGTGTCATGGCATCTGTCGCAACCGCCCCCTCGGGGTCGGAGGAAAGCTCGCAAACTGATCGGAGTCGCCATCGACCTTATTTTGGGTGGGTCGAACACCATTTTCCGGTTTTAATTTTTGTGTTAAAACCAGAATTCTGGTCTGCGAATTTTAGATTGTTCTAGGTTCGGGAGTACGGTTACGTGTGAGGAAGTTTATTCACACCCCACAACGCCCTATAATGGGTACTATATACATAAATCGATAAGTTTTTTAAGAATTGGGTGTATTATTGTTTGTGCATTATTGCGTATTTAATTGTAATTTTTAATTGTTTTTAAATTAAATGTAAATTTTTAGAGTCCCATTTGACGACATGATTAGTGTAAATTTGAATTTAAAGTTATCGGTTTTCACGTCTATCGACGCAAAAAGTTTTTTTAATTGGTTGGACTCGAACCTATCGGTTGCCTACGTACCCGAGTTAATCGGGATCAAAGTCCACGTAGTTCGATTAATCAAGTTTTATATTTTTTAGAAATTTGATGTTTGTTTTAATCTTTTGAAGTTTTGATTTGGGAGTATTGGCTTAGAAGGAGATTTAATACGAGAAAAATTACCATAGTTATCGACCCTTGTATTTCATATTAAGGATCTCCATACAAAGTAAAATGGTGATCAATCATCCTTCAAAAGAATGTTAAATACTTTAATATTTGGAATTTTCAATAGTTTTTTAGAAAAAACTTAAAGTGAGATAAATTAGAGGACTTATCCTGTTGATTTAAGTTTTGTATATCGAGGGTTTAATGTTTATAAATTATGAGTAGTTAATATGTATATATGTAATTAATGATTAACCTATTGGTTAAACGTCTGATTGTGGCCATCAACGAGGCTGAGGTCTGTGGTTCGAAACCTAGGAGTTGTTTTTAGCCAATTTCGTTTTTTAGCAGAAATCAAAACGAGGGTATTTTTGTAAATGACTAAAAACGAGGTGGCAAGGCCACGTAAAACCTGTAAAACCCTAGGGGTAAAACTGTTATTTAGCCTGTTTGGGTATATATTCGTTTTTAACAACAAAAATCTTAACCCTAAACCAATCTAATCGATCGGCCGCCTCTCACTTCACTCTCCCCCCTCGTTTTTCTCTCGCCTGTTCACCTCTTCTTCTTCCCCAAAAACACGAGCTAGCAAAAAAAAAGATAGCAAAACCCTAGCTCTTTCAATCGCCCCCAACCTTCTTCTTTCCCCTCTCAAAACTGACTTACAGTCTCCCAAATCGAACAAAACCTAAAACATGAATCCCCATCACCTCCCTCTCTCTCTTAAGTTCTGATGGAGACGAGGAAAAGGAAAAGAGATTCAAGCGACGGCGAGCAAGGAGAGCCGCCGGCGGTTGATGATGACGGGGACGAAGGTAAGGTCTTTTTTTTGGCTTGCATGATGATTTAGTTTTTTATTTGGAGTGAGGTTTGATTCTGGGCGAGGAGATTTTGATTCGGTTTTGTTCTTGTGGTGTTTTTTTTGGGAAGTTTCGGGTTGAATCGAGCGGAGGTGAGCAGTAGGCCGTACCGTCGACGACGGCAGCAAGGCTATCGGCGGAAGAGTGAGGTAGGTCTTCCCATTTAAATTTGATTCTCATTTTTTGGGGGGTTTTGGGGCTACTTAGGCTTCTGATGATATGGTTCATTTGATTTCTGGGTTTCGAGCTTGGAAAAGGAAAGGGATCAGATATGGATGGCGGACAAGGGGAAAGAGCAAAGAAGCAGCAGAAAGGGAAGAGCAAGGTCACCACTGCCGGCAGGTATGAGCTTTGCCGCGGCGACAGTGATGACAAACAAAGGGTAACTTATTTACGTTAGATCTTTTTGGGATTAAGGGATCTTGGTTCTGATTTCGGCTATGAATTGGGGAATTGGGTTCGTTTGTGGTTACTAATCATAAAATTGGATTGTGGTTGGACATTCTGTGGGTGTTCATGGTGGGTTTAAGTCTAGAAATTTGGCGGTGCTCATGTTAAGTTTGATTCTGAGAATCGGTTGGTGGTGATTGATGAGTTTTGGTAACTGATGACTTGAGGGGTGGTCGAGCTCAAATCTGTATTTTTTGTGGGTTTTATGGGTGAATTTGATTTTGGAAATTTGACTGGTATTTGGGGAAAATTTTCTAGGTTTATGTTTCTTGGTTTGAAAACTCAGATGTGATCATTTGATTAGGTGGGTTTCGAAAGGTTTGTCTTGGGGTTAATATGGCGGTTTTGAAATTGGAAATTTGTTGTGTGTATGGTGAATAACTGGGGAATTTAGCTTAGTGATGGTTAGGTGTATAGTCCAACATATAATAACAAACATACAAAAATAAGCAGAACGGCCAAAAAATAGTAAATGATGAACAAATATAGATTTAAAGATCTAGTAGTATAGTACGCTTAAACATGAAATATTTAAATGAAAGTACTGAGATAAATAGGAAAGTAAATATAATGAACCCATAAGGAAAAGCAATATATCTGATTTGTTGATTGCTTTTGTTATTATAGTGAGAATTGCCGACTTGTAATTTGCTTTGAAAATCGATTGGGCTTGATTGCTTTTGGAGTCTTATTTGGGTCAGATTGTAATTTGAATTGGCGTTGATTGAGTCTGGTTTTGAAAAGAACTTAATAAGATGATTTAAGATGATGAATGATAAAGATGATGGTTTTGAATTTACTTTGCTACCAACCTTTTGACGTTTTCTGTTGTTTGGGTGATGATTCTGCCTCTCCTTGATTCTCTGAGCTTCTTTGTCTGCTATCTCCTTTGTGCTTTTGCTGATGTTGGTGGCAGGGGAGGATGTTTGTGGTGAGGTTTTTTGTTGTTGTTCCTTTTGGATTTCTTTTTGGCTTCTGTTTGTGTGTGTTTGTTTATGCGGGGAAGAGTAAAGGGAGTTGTGGTTTCTTTGCTGTCTTTCGGAAACGGAGAAGAAGAAACGAGGACAGGAAACTTGGGGAGAAAGAAGATGAAGAAGAAGTGAGGAAGTAGCCTTTTGTTATGTATGAAGAAGGAAAGAGTAAAGTCTGATTTTGCAGAGTTTATTTTTGTTGGTTTTGATTGCTCTTTTAGGTTTGTTTGGTCAGGAAAGGTAGAGGGGAATGCCAAGAAGAAGAAGAAGAAGATGAAGAAGTCGTGGCTTTTTAAGAAGGGGAAGCAAAGTGCAGTGAAGCCGAAGAAAGAACTCCCCCTCGTTCTTGGCCTACAAGGCCTCTCTTTTATAGCAGGGAGTTATACTGTAGCTCTACAGTAGTTAACGGTTGTGCACTGTTCTTATTGGCTGTTAGGGGTAGGGGGTAAGTGTATTTTTTTTGATTGGCTAGTAGGGTAGGTTAGTTGTATTTTGTGATTGGTTGAGGATTGGGCTGGGCTTGTGCCTGGTTGAACCAGTCCGGTTCGACCGGGATTGGATCTGGCCCGAGTACGACTGGGCTTGGATTTTTGGGTTTGGTTGACTGTGATATGGGCTTGACCCAACTTAGGCCTGTTGACTTGCATTTACCAGAGTTGACTACGATCTGGGCTTCTATGTGAGCCCAATTTCTTCTATTGTACAATTGTAATTAGAATGTAATAGCAAATTAACATTGTAATTATTATGGATTGTGAATGATTTTAGTATTTAGCATTGTATTTATCTTAATAAAATTGTCATGTCTTATATTTTATTATTTAGAAATTGCGATCCAATTAACTCGCATGACAATCAAACTGAAGCCTAACTTGTCTAAACATGTCAAATCATCACTAATAGAATGTGTCAATTGAGATTTGCTATTGCTGATCTCGGCAAACAAAGACCCAATCCAAGCACGGCAAATACGTTTTAGCCATAAGGTCATTTAAGATTGTTATTGCAAACCTTAAATTGAAACTAAATTTTATTTGATTAAATATGTTTATAACCCGGACAAAAAGTGGTGTCTACAGTTGCCCCCCTTTGTATATCTCTTGGTATTTAAGAGCTATACAAAGTTCTTTTTAAGACACCACGTTTTGACAATGTTAGAGATGGATTGATTGTTTGGTTCTGACGATGCATTAAAGTTGTTCGGGATATAACAGGCTAAACAAGTTGAATGAAAAAAAAAAACAATCCCATTGTTCGGGGTATGACGGGCTGAACATTTGTGATAGCAATGTGATAAGGTTGTCTGGGATATGACACACTAGACATTTTCTGACAATGCAATCAAGTTGTTCGGGATATGACGGGCTGAACATTTGTTGATCGCAATGTGATGGGTTGTCCGGGATATGACACGCTAGACATTTTTGGACAATGCAATCAAGTTGTTCGGGATATGACGGGCTGGACATTTATTGATGGCGAAGCTTTAGGGTTGTCCGGGATATGACACGCTAGACATTTTTGGACAATGCAATCAAGTTGTTCAGGATATGATGGGCTGAACATTTATTGATGGCATAGCTCTAGGGTTGTCCGGGATATGACACGCTAGACATTTTTACTGACAATGCAATCAAATTGTTCGGGGTATGACATGCTAAACATTTATTGATGGCATAGCTTACGGGGTTGTCCGAGATATGACACGCTAGAAATTTTAATGTATGGTGATAATGAGTATGAGAGTGTTTTGTGAGATAATCATGAGTAATGTTAATGAATGATAATGTCGTGTTATGGAAGATATGTGAGAGAAAGAGTGTGATATAGCCTGATTTCGAGTTTCTTTTATTCTTGTAGTAATGTAGTCTAATTTGAATTTTTGTGGCAGTATAGACTGGTTTGGTCTTTGTCTCGTGGCGGTATAGCCTGATTCGGGTGTGCTCCCATAGCATTATAGTTTGATTTGGGTATGTTTTCTCTCATGCGGTATAGCTTGATTTGGATTTTCTAGCCCCGGTATATCCTGGTTTGGGTGTGCTTCTTGTGGCGGTATAGCCTGATTTGTGTTTTTATCCATGGCGGTATAGCTTGATTTTGTTATATCTTGTTCCCAAGGAGGTATAGCCTGATTTGGGGTTGTGGTCCCGTGGTGGTATAGCCTGATTTGGTTATCTTGTTCCCATGGTAGTATAGCCTGATTTGGGTTTGTGGCCCCGTGGCGGTAGAGCCTGATTCGATCGTGATTTTTATCCATGGCGGTATAGCCTGATTTGGTTCTATCTTGTTCCCATGGCAGTATAGCCTAAACGGGGTTTTTGGTCCAATGGCGGTATAGCTTAACTTGTTTTTATTCTTGTGGCGATATAGCCTGGTTTTGTTTTTTAATGATCTGGTAGCGGTATAACCTGATTTAGATTCTTTTTGTATGGCGGTATAGCCTACTTTGATTTTCGTTGGTATGTGTGAAAGTTTACTACAATCACGAGTGGTGTAGAGTTTTCTGCTTGATATGAGGTATTGAATCAAGCAATTTGTTGAGTCTAGCTAGATCATTGGTATGTGCCAAACTTGACTTTGGTAGAGATTTGAATTTGACCTCACCATGATGTGCAAATGCCAGGTATTTTGTGATATGATATGATGCAATATTGTGATGAGATATGTTGAAAGTGTACATCTCCTTTTAATGAATTTTGAGCATGAATAATATTTAATTTGGCTATGAATTTTTTTGAATGACTGTATGATGAGCTATATGATGATTTGTTGAAAAGTATGTGAATGAAAAGGTCTGATCGTTCATCATGGTGTAATATTAATGTCTAGAATTCTCTTAAATCAATCATCCACAAGGAACTACGTCATTGTCCCTTTAGTAAGCTTGATCTTTAGTTATGCTTGTGCTGGAGTAAAATGGGTGCAACCGATGAGTACTTCCTTTCTCTGGCGCATGTCATCATCTCGAGGTACTGGGCTTGCCATCTAGTTTGTCCTCTTTGTTTGCTTAGTGAGCCCAGGGTATTGTATTTCTGGGTACTTGGTGAAAGGTTGGTCCTCAGTTTTCTCTACCCTGGACACTGGTGCTTGAGTAGCTAATGCGTTAGTCATATGACCTTCTTATTCATGATATGTGCCTGGTAGATTGGTTATGTAGGAGGATTATGTAGCATGGTGATATCACAATAGTGTGCTCATTTAGTTCAATTGATCTTCTTGCCATGTGAGCATGTCGTGTTTGGCTAAGAGGATTTTTTATCTCGGGGTATTGTCTTGTTGATGTCGGTTTTCTAGACATGCTAGATTGATTTCACCGAGAGGTATGTTGTACAAAATATTTCGTTGAAGGATAGTTTGATTGACAGGTTGGGTAGCTTGAACGGAATGATTCAGAATATCTGAGATTCCCCATTTACTCATGAGTTGATGGACTTGGAGAACCACTTCATGGGTATTTGAACGGCTTCTACTCTGGGTCTTCTCACCTTGCCCCCGTAGATATGTTACTTGTTTTCCTCTTTTCGGAACAAAATGTGACTGTTACCAATCTTGACTTAAGATGAATGCAACAAAGTTTGGAAATTCTCAATTGAGAAAGTATGATGAGAACCTGTTTTTAGAAATCAAAGCCTCGCTTGAGGGAAGTGTGTGCAACATGAGAAAAAGATTTCTTGTGTGGTTATTGCCACATTGTTTAAAAACTTTTTTCCATAAGCCAAGCCATGAGAATATTCATAAGCCCTCGCTCTCATTCTCACTCTCAGTTTCACTCTCACTCAATCCTATGGGTGCTTCGAGTTTATGATACTTCAGCTACTATCAAGATTCTTGTCACCATGTTGGGGGGACAAGTGTGCCTGAGGTATAGGTTTGTTGATCATGGAGAGTTCGGGTGATCTTTGTATGTTCTCGTGGTAAAAGTTCTTGAACTTTCCTAAAAGAAGCTTGGTTTGGTATGACT